TTGTAGTGACTGAGAGATTATCCCATGCAAAGTTTGTTATACACTTGCTGTGCATTTGAATGGCTTTATAGCACTATAATATATACTTATTTTTACTAAGTGCTCCAGCTATGGTTAATTGTGTGTTCCAGGGGCTGACTTTAACTCCAGAGAGCAGGCAGGCTGTAAACTTTTACTCTGATGTAAAACTTGGCAGCAATTTGTACCCCTGTGGTAGAGAAAACATTATGTTGAGAAATTCTGGCATGCCAGACAAAATTATGGACTTAGAGACCGAGATTAAGCCTGTGTTTCAGTTCTTAAGTGCCCAGATTTCCACTGAGCTCAGCCAGGGATCCAAACCCACAAGCACTTCTATAAGGACATATATTTGAAAGGCATTAATTATGTTTTTAAAAGGCAATTCTGATGCAGCGCCAACAGAAGACGTGAGTGGCTGTGGATGCACAGCACTGGGATAAATCCTGGAAGGTCTTAGGGAATCCAAGGAACATTCCAAAAGCTGAAAAATCTTCTAGTTAGAGGTCAGCACTGCTCCAGTTTCCATACTCTGCTGTATGTGATTGGCCTGTGTGGGATCTACCAATATAGTCAAGGGATAGAGAAATGTCAGAACGGATTCTTTCATTTGGGTGATGAAGTGCCCGCTCTGCCTGCCGGCATGCAGGGCTCAATAAAAGCAGACAGGTCTTCAAAAAATAGCAGCATAAATAGATGAACTCTTTAAAGTAATACAAGTTCTGTCATCTGGAGGTGAAATATAGACCTAAGTGCCCGCTGAAGTAAAGGCTGACCGCACGTTCCACAGAGAAGTGCTCAAAGTTTTCTCAGAGTGTCTCGGGCTGAGCAATGTTTTAACTACAGCTCTCCTTGCCACAACAGACAGAATGAAAGCATTTGAAGTTAAATCCATTTTTCAAAAGAAGAAAACAAAGCATCCATAAAGAAACAAAGGCCTATCACGGGATGAGGTCTCTAGATAGCCACTGTTTGCAGGGAAGTTGCAATTAGCTGTGCAATGGAGAAGGTGAATTTAGTTGTATTTCAACAGCATTTATAATGACTTCAGCAGCTAAAATGCTGATAGGTACGTGCAGGGGGTTGGTTTCAAGATTTCCTTGTGAGACACAAGGTCAGGATTCCTGTGGTCTCCTGTCATATTTAATTCATATCCTCTGGCCTTCTTCACCACATTTATTGAATTACAGGAATAAAATTCAACGAACCAAAAACAAAAGAAGAGAGGACACGGCACATCCTGATTTCTTTTATGTCCCTCCTGCACAACTGAGTTCGGTGGGCTTGCAGAAGAACATCTTGGAGCAGGATTTGGAAGGAGGGGGAGGTACAAGTCAGTAAAACCCCTCTCACCATCCCTCTAATTGCATCCAAGTAATTTATTGCAAGGAGCAACCATTTCCATGTGGGAGTGAGGATCCAATTTCCACCAGTAAAGACTCTCCCTGTGTACTTTTTAAGGCTAATCTGTGCACTCCCTGTGTGTGTTTACCAGGTTCCTTCTTGCCACAAATGAGATGGCAGTAAATGGCTTGGCAAAACCACCCAGAAGAGCATCACTGGCAATTCATCACATCAGTGCTGAGAGGCAAGACTTAAATATGCTAAAACACCAGCTCCAGGGAAGTGCCCTACTGGTGTGCTTGTAATGGTGATTCCCTGCAATCATCTCAGTTAAATTAGTCCAGCCTTTCTCCTCCCTTCACAAAAAGCACAGTGTTCCCAACAGGCCCGTGGTGGGGACTCTTCTGCTGGAGCAATGGGGAGCAGCTCTGTGATTTGGGAGAAGGAGATTTTCTTGTCTCCTCTGCTCCTATGATCCTATTTGCATTGCCCTGAATGCTGCCTCCAAGAACTGGCTGGTTTGGGTTTAACTGTGGATCACTCAGATCTCTCAGCTATTTTTTCAGTCAAATCTACACCCGGTTCTGCTCTGTGGTTCAGACACCCCCAGAGTTAAAACAGACCATCCCCTGGTGTGAGCACAGTCACATCAGAACCTCACATAAACACCCTGTACCAATACCCAATAACAGCTTTACAATGGTGTCATTTGGTTTTAGAGCCAGAAATGTGCAAATCTGGTTGTTGAGTCTGACCCAAAATAATCATCGAAAAAAAAGAGAGAAAATGTTTTGAAATTCTATCCAAAACTGCAAGCTCACCACTATGTAGCTTTGGTATTTGAATTTTTGGAAATGTCACAGCTAATAAATAATGTATTTTTTTTCTAAGCTACAAGGTACATTTTTATTTTACAACTTGAATCTGCTTAACTTCCAAAAATTAAATGCTCTGCTCACATCCACATCAACCTATGGGATGGCTGCCTTTCCACTTAATACATTTAATAAAGGTGACCAGATGCTTTGTGATTTTAATGGCTTGTTCTGCATCCCAACAAAATGTCCCTGTTTTGGCTGTGAGAGCAGATGATTCATCCTGAAACCTAGCCCAGCTGCCCTGACACAGGGCACAGATAAAAACACACCATCTGTGCTGGGGAGTGGGATGGAGGAGTGCTTTGTCAGGAAAACACCGTCCTTCCTTGGGCACTGTGTATTCCAGGCATCCAGTACTCCCAAAATCCTATGGGTCCAACCTCTCTGCCTTTGCAGTTCAATTTTGCAGTTATATCCCATCTCCCATCACATGCTCTTCCTCAGAAACCCCTCAGCCTGCTCTGCTCTGCTCTGTAAGATCTGCAGATCAAACATTTCTGCAAACCGTTAAGATGTTGCTCCCGGTTTTATTCTTTCCAATCACACGGCAAAATTCCTGCCCGTGTGGCTGCATCAGCCAAGCCAGAAAAAGCAAGAGGGAGGGATTCATTTATGGCTCTTCTGACTAATGAGCTCTGCCCAGCTCTGCATGAGCACCACTCCCCGGTGAGCTCTGCCAGGGGACACATCCTGCACCCAGGGGTCACTGTGCCACCGCTCCCAGACTTGCTGAATCCAAGGGCAAAATTCTACCCACAGGCAAAGCTCCTGCTGCCTCAGCAAGAGTCAGGCAGGAATATCTGAAGGGAAAGTCAGGCTTGGAGCGTGTCATTGAAGGGTTCTGGCCCCACAGCATCTCCCACCTCCCCTGCAGGCAGCACCTTCTCCCTGCCCAGGAGCATTCCCGGTGGGACACTCCGGGTGGGAAGCAAAGGTTCCTGTCCAGTTTTCTGTGCAGCCTGTGTTCTGCAGCATTTGAAAGAACCACTGCAGCTCAAGTCATCTGGCATGCATACGAATGACAAATATGCTTCAGAGGCAATAAATTAGCAATTTCAAGGCTTTACTTCCCCTCCTGGACTAATTGCCAGAGATTATAGTATATTATGTGAGAGCAATGATACTAATGCCTAAATATGCTTCAGTGATTATAGAGCTATCCTCAATAACCAAGCTGTTTAAATGTCAATGCAAGAAAGCTCTTTATTACGAGATTAAATATTGTTTTGAAGCAATGCAATAGGAACTTCCCAGGCTTCCTGCCTGCAAAAATGCTGCCTTGGGGCAATATATATTGGACAAGGTATGTTTTTTGAAAATGTGGGCAGTAAAGGGTCCCAAAATACTTTTGTGCTGCAAACTCAAACAGCATTCCTGATAAGAAGGAGGATCTTGGCATCTTTTATTTTGTATTTGTTACTAACACGCTCCCACCTTCATCTTTCCTCCACTTGTCTATCACCACTGTACAGAGAAGATAAATCCTTGTTTTCTGTCAGTGTGAGTTGGGAATCAAACCTTAAAGACCTTTCCTTCTTTTTTTTCCCTACCTTTAAGTACCAGTATCTTGTACAGATACTTCTGAGTCCTGCCCCTCACACCTAAATAAATCTCTTTATACCTGGCACTGAGAGAACCCCTGGAAATCAGATGGAACCTCCAACTTTCAGGTTCAGCTGTTGACATGAAGCAGAGAACAAAAGTGTCTTTAAGCCATGACTCCAACTGCACAGCTCTGGAGATGCCTGTTGGTGATCACAACCTCACGTGTGGATTTAGAAGGAAAGAAGGCTGAAAAGGTTTTAACATCCCACTAATCTCATACAGGACCCACCCACTATGGATCTTGTCACACAGTTGTGCTGCCTGTCCCTTGATTTCTAATAAACTTGGTAATTATAATTCATAATAATACAGAAAATGCATAGATAGGCCTGTGGGGACAGATCACATAAAATCAAGGACACAGAAAGACAACTGCTCATGAATTTTGGTGGAATTCTCTTTTCAAAGTAATTTTTTTCCTTTAGGAAGCATTGTTTCTTAAACACAGCCTGCACTTCTCCTGCATGGTGTGCTCCTGAATCAAGAGGGGCTTCACATCTGGATGAGCAGGGAACTTATTAGAGAGGATTCCATTCTGCCCAGCTGTAGCAGGACTGGACACCTGGATCCACACCCTGACACTTTCTCCTGCAACCTGGCAATCGTTAATTCTGAATTTTTGATGTTTCATCTTGGCTGGTTTCTTCAGCCATTTTATATCTCACCTCTAAAACGCAGTGCTTGTTTACCTCAGGGTGTCTGAAGCTCTTTCTGATGCTCAGGTAAAAGACACCTGCCACACGGGCTCAGAAAAGACAAAAATTGCTCTATTATTTGCAACACTTTAAAATATCTCCATCTATTAAAATCACACTGTGACTGACAAGGAACCTGCTGAAAGGCCAGGAGAATTCTTTCTCTGCTCTTCCAGGCAGACAATAACCTGACATCCTTTTTGTTACGTCTTGACTTAGAATATAGGATGGGAAACCACATCTTTATTTTAGTGACACACTTACAGCAGTGGTGTTAAGCACAGGACCAGAAGCAGTGAGTTGACACTGCTCAAAGGAGAATGATGTGGAATTTTCACAGAACGGAGGACAAACACATGCATCGGCCACTTCTGGGCAAATATTCTGTGAAATCAGGTTAAAATCCTCTTTAACTGTGTGCAGAGAGTTATGCTCCCCCAGCATTCCCCCCTGCACTCACCATGTAGCCGGGGGCACAGGAGCAGGCCCCGGTGACGCCGTCACAGTCGGCCCCGTTGTGGCAGGGGCAGGCCAGGGCACAGCCCTCGCCGTACGAGCCCGGGGGACACGTCTCGTTGCAGTAGAGCCCAGCCCAGCCAGCCTTGCAGCTGCACTCTCCAGACAGGGGGTGGCAGCTACAGAAGAGACAGACAAGATGCTCGTGAGGTGTGGACAGGAGGGGAAAATACAGCCCAGCACATCTAAGAACAGGGCAAACCTAAAGCTGTTAAGGATGGTGAACATCAGCAGCCGTGTAATTTAGGAAGGGAACAGGGAACATGGTGCTGAACACCAGCCTGGCACAGCACCTCCAAACACCTGGGAACTGCCACAGCACTGGTTATTTTACACCTTGGAGTTCATGCTCTTCTACTCTCAAATCAATGTGACTTGGATCACTGCCATCAACCACGCCACAATCAATCCATGGGCTGTAGGATATGTATGTGGTGGACTATCTGGCTGTAACACAGCCACGAGGGATGTTCAAGGTTAGGAGAAACTCCAGTGGATGGAGGAATGCAATCAAGAGAGTTGTGAAGATAAACCTGAGTTCTGGGGCACAATACTCTATTCTGTTCTGAATATTCTATTCTGACTCCACCAGGGAGGTGGTGGAGTCACCACCATGCCTTGGAGGTGTCCAAAAAACACGTGGATGTGGCACCTGAGGACACGGCATAGGGGTGAACATGGTGGTGGTGCTGAGTTGATGGTTGGACTTGATGATCTTCAAGGTCTTTTCCAACCTAAATGATCCTATTCCATTCCATTCTATCCCATCCCATCCCATTCCACTGTCAGTTGTGTTTCAGGAGTGCCAGCTCAGCAGAACTTTTCAGCAGGCACGGGTAGAAAGGAAAATGCTTTGGAAGGGAAAAACCTCCTCAAAAGAGGAGTTTTGCAGGGAATATTCAATCACAGTGCCTAGAACTGATCACCACCTGAAGCCTTGGGATTTATCTGGGACAGGAGCCACCAGGAGCCCTGGGACTGAACTGAGGATGAGCAGGGAAATGAGTCAAGTTCTTTATGCTGAATAATGAGCAACATTAATCCTCTGGCTTTCATTTCCATGCAGCCAATTCCACACCACATGGAGAGAAGAGGAGAAAGGAGAATTGAGCCCAAAAGACCGGACAATGTCTGGTCCTTCTGGATCTGTGGGTGGAAGACTCACTCTTTGCTCCTCCCACCATGAAACAGTTTATCTTTATTCAGCATTTTTCCTTCTCCCAGGTTTCCTTAGGGCACTTCTTTCCCACATCAGGAGAGCCAAGCTGAGGCTGTGGTACCATAATGGCTCTGCCCAGCCCTCAGTGAGGGAGATGAGAAACAATATTTGTACAAATCCCATTTTCTTTATCATTCTCAGAACAAGAAGGATGGACTTCTGCAAGGTGGCACCTCTCTGTGGACCTGTCTCCTGGTTTTTTGCCTCACAGAAACGATTCATTTTCCTTTATAATTATTTATTGCCACAGTTTAAGGTTGTAGACATGACTGAATGGGTTTCTTTACACCTATAAAATTAATATTGTATATGTTAATTTTCAAGGTAACCTCATAAAATGTAATTTCCAAGTATGTTTCAGGCAATTACTGGTAGGAGAGGTTAGTCATATACTGTTGTGACTAAGAAGGATCAAATTCTGTAAGTGTCATATGTTTTATCATAAATAGCGTTTTACTGACTAATTAAAACAATTAATCAGCTTAACAAACTACCATCCATGAAATTCTTCTGACAAAGCGGTCCCTGAAATTATGGTTGTTCACAAAGCACCTCTTAACATTCAGATGAAAATAATAAAAGCCCATTTTTTCCCCCTCTGTGTCCATTAATCATTACCTAATAGGAGCAGAAAGCTCAACATTAAAGGAGTGTTTTAAAGTGGATTTTGTGTTTCTCTGTTTCCACTACTACTGCATGTATCATATGCTTCCATGAGAACTGCATCTGTTGGCTAAATTAAATCTTTCAAAGGTAATGTATGATCAGGGCAGCTGGAATCAGTCTATGACAATTCAATTGAAAATACTACACTCGGGAAGAGCTTTTACTCCAAGGTTGGCTCCTTCATCAACATGGACAGCTCTTTTGCATGGGATGCAAGCTCTGTACCCAGGACTAAAAATCCTCCTGACAGGTACTAAAATAAGAATCAAAAAGCAAACAGGCTTTGCAGAAGAATCTGCAGGAGATGGGGGGGCTTTGACTCCAAACCAAGGGCCAGCAGAAAAGTGAGACCACATCAGCCCCACTAAAGCCCTGTCCCCTCTTTCATGGGACTGTGAGCCAGGAAAATCCCACACAGATGTTTGGGTCCCTCCATCCATACCATGTTCCCGTTGCAGCAAGGACAATTCTGTCACCAGCCTGAGCAGATCAGGGTTTTGTTTCTCTCCTGAGTCAAAAGCACTTGTTTGGCAATTGAGGTGCCTGATGCAGCGTTAACTTGAGCAGGGCTGAGACTGAGATGCTTTTCCAAACTGCAGAAAGCAGCTGTTCCCTCCCCAGTCCTGCCAGGGAATCTTGGCCATGTAACTCACTCTTTCTGCTTCATCTTTCTCATTTCTAAAGTGATGCCTTTCTTCCTTTGGAAACCCTTTTAAGATCTGCAGCTGATATCACTAAACAGTTTTTATATTAATTCTTTTTTTTTATCTGGGAGGTATGAACTATTCCAGTAATTAAAGTGAGTAGAGTTACATAGTAAATATATTGCAGGTTATGATATAGTGTAAGTCTGGATGTATGTGTGTGTTAGGAATGTTTCTCTTCTGTTGGCATTCTGTACAACTTCATTCTGAAAAAAATATGTACCCAGACACATAACATAGTTCAGAAATGCATCTATCATCCATCCAAGCATCCGTGCATCCAGACTGCCCAGTGATCTAAATGCACTTTGGACTGAGGTTGGAAAGCTTGAGGCAGAATAAAGCTTGAATAGGAAGTACAGCTAGAAATTTGAATAAATATTTCCAGAATTCCTCCCTTCCTGCTCTGAAGGCACCTGTCAAGGCCAGAAGTCCCTGGAACGTTTTGCCAGCACAGGTCACAGTTATGGGGGGCATTTCTTGTGCCCCCAACAAACTGAAATCAATGAACACGAAGGATTCCTCTAGAGGAGGATCACTGAATGGGCGGGGGAGAGAACGGGAGGGTTCCAGAAGGATCCCAAAGGCAAACCCACTAACACCTGCCTTCCAACCCTTGCTGGGAGCAGGAAGGGAACCTGCCACACTTCCAGAACTCTGGCAGTGCTGTACAATAGTATTTTGCATTGAATCTTAACAACTTGCATTTCTTCAAGTCTCCTGCAGCACAGGAAGGAAGAGTGTAGAGAAAACCCAGGGTGAGCACAGGCAGCCAAGTGTTCCTGGGGCTCCAGGCCAAGCTGAGGTGGGAATGGAGCTGTCCACTGGCTGAGAAGGAAAGTGCTCCAGGGCTCTTCCTGCACTTTGGAAGCCTCTGTATGATCCCTTCTGAGCCACATTTACAGCAATAAAAGATTTATTTGTAAGAATTTTACTACCTGAACTGAAAAACACAAAGGCATTTTTGACCTTTAAGTTTTTTAAGCATCTAATTTTGAAGAAATTGGAGGAAAACAGGTAACTTTCTTAAGGCAAATTGGAAAAAGAAATGCTTTAGACAGCACAGTCTGTTCCAAACTCTGAATTTGTTCTCCACACATCTTTCAGCCAAAACAACTTCTTCCCAGAGAATTTTCTGACTTTCTGTTTATACATTAGCACCAGTCATCTCATCTTCATTAGCAACAGCCCTAATCCTTATTTAACAGTATTTTCTGTCTCTTGGTGTCCATACTACATTCGGTTTTCCTTACTAAAATGCCTCTTGCTTTAAAGAAGTGGCCACAATGAGGCTGCAGGGCCACTCCTTCAGTCCAGCACATCTTCAAAGCCAGCCTCATGCAGCACATTATCCACTCAGGTCAAGGCAAAACTTCACACAAACTCCGTGGGGTTTGGTCCTTCCAAACCTGTCAGTGCTGAGGCAGGAATTAGAGCCTCTGAAGATCTACTTTGTCACAGTGCCTTCCTTCCCTTCTCGTGCCTGTGACCTTGGAAAGACATTCCCAAAGGCACATGGCTCCACACCCTGGCTCCACAGCAGTGTTCAAGAAGCCTGGGTGGCCAAGACTATTCCAGCTGTTCATTTTCTTCCCTGCTTTAAAGACCAAGCTAGGATTATTCCTTTCCAAAACTGTAGGCTGTCTCAACATGGGCTTTTTGCAGAGGAGGATTTTTTACAGGTGTATCCTTTCCTGTGGAGGGACAGTCCAAGTCACCAACATGTTCTAAATCACCTTTTCTAAATCTCAGTCGAGGGGTTGTTTAAATGTCCCACACAAAGTACCTTTCACTGTGCTCTGATGCAGAAATTATTGGATGATGTTCTTCAACCTTTACCATGCTGGAGGTTAGACTGGATGATCACACTGATCTCTTCAGACATTAAAACAGATAGATCTATGAAAGTGGAAAAGCTGATTGTGTACTTCTTAATGTTCCTCCTCGACCTGCTCCTCAAAGCCCCCAGAACTTTCTGTTCCAGTCAACTCTCCAATAACCAGATGAAATGAGTCAAAACCAGGGAGAGGAGCTTCCCTCACCTCCTACAAGTATTTATTTAATTATCCTACACACCTGAGGACCACAACAAGCAGCCAACAGCTCAAACTGCTTCTGGGGAAAATAGATGGCTGTCAGCAAATGAACCACTCTGGAAGACCCCAGTTCCAGTAAGGATAAACACTCAGGGAGGAACGGGAGGAGGAGGGGGGGAAGAGGAGTGCCCTGTATGGGACTGGTTAAACAATGAGCAAAAAGATTTGTTCAGAAAGTGGAGTGCCTTTGGAAAAGGTCATTTCCCATCAGCTCAGCAATTGACAGCACTCCTGGAGCTCATTGAAAAGTGGAAAGCCCAAATCCCATGGATGAATGAAAGAACATTTGCAGATCTACAGCTTGCTGATATCTCTTTGTTCCATAACAGCAGTGATAAGATGTAGGAAAAAAGGGAGATTTTATCAATGGAGAGACTAGACTCATTTATTAAGGAACCAGAGATACCATCTCAGCAGAGGATGCTGCAAGGGAGGCTGATGGAGCACTGATGGGAGGGAAGGAATAAAATGTACCCACCAGGCAGCAAGCAGGAACAGGGTGTGTAGGAATGACCACATGCCCAGAAAAGAGCTGGGAGAGGATTCAATCCTTCACCTTTCTGAGCTCTCTCAAACCTGAGGCCTCCTCTTTCCTCACAGCTGGATGGTGCCAGTCTGTTCTTTCAGGAAAGACCCTCTGGCAAACCCTCAGAGCACCCCTCTGAGTAACACAGGATGAATTCTTGCACCCTCAAACCCACCTAAAATACTCTTACTGAATTGAGCACTAAGCTGAGAAACATCAGCCAAGCTCAGCCTTGCCCATGGCCTGCAATCCTTCCACTGTTTACACCTTTATGGGAATATGGGCTCACAGGCAGGTTCCTGCAGGCTCAGGAGGGGTGAAGACACAGTGTCAGCTACTGTCCATGAGCATATTCCCACCCTCCAGCACATCTGAAGAACAGTTTACCCTGAGGAGCAATTCAGGTTGTGTTTACCCCAGGCTGGAGTCATGCCCAGTGCCAGGTGCTGCGGTGTGTGACACGCAGGGATTTACAACTCAGCTCCCTCTGCAGTAACTCCTGAGACATCCCACATCCTCGGCACAACACAGCACTAACCTTTTGTGTAAAATGTGCAGCTCATGCCTCAGGGATGTTATTTTTGCAATGATTTCATGATACACAACATAATCTGAAGCGATGGAAGCCTGTTGTACAAAGCTCCCTTTGAGCCTCAAACCCTTTGGATCCTGGCTGTCAAACCCAGTAGTGCTGCAGCTCTCTTGCTCTATGGGACTTGTATCACCACAATTACAAGTTTTTAAATAATCCATTGTGAGCTCTGACTTTCAGTTAAACAAAGCCTCACCACTCACAGCTGAATTCACAAAGAAAATCACCTGTTTACTCCCAAGACTGAGACAAACAGGGTCTATCTCGAGCACACAGACAGATTTGCCTGAAGTGTTTGTGTGTGTGTGAGTGTGAGTGTGCACACAAATTAGGAGCTGTTGCTTGCATCCATAATTGGGGGTGTTTATATTTCAGCAGGCAGCAAGATCCAAGGCAGGTTTGTCATCATCTGCAGGACAGTCAGGTCCCCACCTGTCTGGTTGGAAATTGAGGAATGTCTGTACCAAGGGCAGGTTTGCTCGGGCATCAATTATCCCACCTCCCTCTGAAGCACACACAACCCTAAATTGGCTCTGCCTGCTGAACAGGAATGGGCACAAAAGGGGGGGAATGGAGTGGGAGTCGAGGGGCTCAGCATGGAGCAGGTGAGGAATGTGGCACTCAGGTCCATGAGACAGCAGGCCGGCGGGGTTTGGCTGTCCAGGCTCCTTTACTGCAGGGGAGGGAGGGAGGAATCTCCAAACAGCAATTCCAGCAGTCAGGAAACAAGGCAGGGAGTTACAAAAGGTAACAAAGAGGATAATAGGGAAGAGTCTTAAATTCTTTCTTTTTTGTTTTTCCAAGGTTTGGAAAACTTATTCAAGGCTGCAACGGGAAAGTCAATTCAAGGTGCTCAAGTGGCTCTGGCTTTTAGAAATGAGAACCTCAAGAATAAGATCCTAAAAAAAGCAAAAAAAAAGGGAATAAGACATCAAACCCCTACCTTTTAAGCGAGGCTGATTCCACTGTAGGTACAATTCCCTGGTATTTATTTTCCTGAATATTTCCCACACGCACACAGTGAGTGAGGAGCAGAAATAGGCTCACATGAGGAGTCTGTTTTGACAATGTCGACCGTGTTACAGCTCCACAGACTGACTCAGGGATATTGATTTCAGTCTATTTATACATCTGCCTCAAGTGTTTGCAACAGGGTAATTTGCCACGAGACATAAACTGAAGCAAATTAGGTTTCATTTTGAAAGTCCCCTTGCTGTCTGTAGATCTAACAAGAAAACCCATGGCATAAAAAAAAAAGCCAAAATGATGGATTTGAGTAAACATATCTCTATTTTTAAAACTTCAGTGGGTTATTATACACACATATGGGCATCACCTGATGGTCCTTATGCCTCCAAGACTTTAGTTACAGGATAAAGCTGTGTGTCAGGTTGTTTCAGATGTTACCAGAGCTGTTAACAGATCTGTGCTCAGTAGATGGCTGAACTGAGGCTTATGGTTACAAACCTGAGGTCATTTAAATCCAAGCTTTGCAATCCAGAGGAACTGTCTATGCTTGTACTTAAAACTACAGAGAAAAAGGCAGTGTGTGCAGTTAATTGAATTCTTCCCAATGCTTTTATTTGACCACTCCCTGCACTGCAATATTACATGATGTACATACCTGAGGGTGTTGGTAATATTGCAAGGACATCTCTTGTTGCATTTGAGGCCATAAAACCCTTCTGGACACATCCTTTCTTGGCAGTAGATCCCTTTAAAGCCGGGGTCACAGATGCAGGCTCCGTTGACGTGGTAGCACTTGGCCCCGTTCTGGCAGTCGCAGGTTTGTGAGCACTGGAAGCCGTATGTCCCGATGGGACACTCCTCCTGGCACCTGCAGGGACACAGGGGACAGGGCAGCCAGTCAGAGCTGCAGCCTTCTGCACAGGAGTGTCTCTGTTAATGAACTAAATACAAAAGCACTGCTTTTTAGTTAAGTCACACACTGTGAACCGATGGTCTCGTCGGGGTGATGTGATATCCGGGCATGGAAAGGGCTGTTACCTGAAACTGCATTAATCTCTGCCCAATTAGAGCTGCAACATTTGCATTACTTAATATTGCCTTCGTTCACAAAGTGCATTCTTCTCTCCTGCACCTTGACAATTCCATTCACCAACCATAAGAAATTGATGTGGAATAAATGATTAAAAAACCCCTCTCCTGTTTGCTTTCTCTTTATCACAGGACGACTGTGCACTTTCCTTGAAAGCACATGATCCTCCTAGTGATGCTGAGGGTTCAAAGGGAATGTGGTCTAAGCAATACTGAGCAAAGTTTCTCCAGCAATGTCCAGTTTTACTTGCCCTCTTTGCTGTCATTGCATCAGCTTTATACCAACAAGGAGAAAACAAACTCCTTTGTCTTTTGTGTGTGTTCTGAGTAACTAAAGCTTAAATTTACTTTTTCTTCTCCTACTCCAGGGCTGCTCAGCAGCATAAAATCCCAATAAAAATCACTTTCACGCTCCTTAGTGAAGAATCTTCTTCAAAATTGCTGTTTTTAATATTTGATACACCCAAAAATGGAACCTGTAAACACTCTACACAGATTGCTTTGAATTGCACCTTCCATCCACTGTTTTAAGTATTTCCCTACTGGATACATTCTCATATCTGCCAAAAAGTCTGTCTCCTTGTCCTACACAACCAATTTAAGAGTTCATACTATTTCCTATTTGGAAAAGCTCAGCCAAGGTCCTAAAGAAAGCAACTGATTCTGTGCTTGACATAATTCAGTGGTTTCAAAATTCTGCAATGAGTCAGGACTAGAGTTTACATGATCCACCGTGAAATACAGACAGGCCTTTTCAGTTCATAAAAACAGCAAAAGAAGGCAAGAAAAGCCCAATTCCCTTATCACATGGATGCCAGACATTGGAAATTGCCTATCAGCATTAATTTAAGCCTGAGCATTGATTAAAGTGTATACTGTAAACTCGGTGGATGGAGGCAATTGTTAAATGTCTTTCTGCAGGTCATTTCACAGCTGGCAGGTGAGAGTTAATATAATGATCAGTAATAAAAGATTAATGTGTGATGCAAGGCAGGCAAAACTGCAATGAACACAGGCAGTATATAAGAAGGGCATTACTTTTGCAGCTTCAGATTATCACGTTTTACTAAAAATAAACGAACACAGCGAAAGGCCCAGCCAGGGACTGAATTCCAGCAGCCACCACCACAGCTGCTGGTTACAAATCCAAGGTGAGGAGTTCATATGAGACCCAGGGAGAGAGGAGTTTGTGACAAACAGGGAAAGAGCCTGCAGAATCCCCAGCAGCAGAACAAGCAAAGAAAGGAGGGGAGCAGTGGGGCTGGAACACTCCCAGCAAAGGAAGTGCAGGAGGAGGGGACTGAGCTCCTCATTCCCCACTGCTGCACAGACCCTGCTCGTGAGGAGAGCCCTGCACTCAACGGGATGAACACTTAGTCAATAGTGCTCTGTATCACTCCATATTTATAGAAGATGAAGCATTACCTAGCAGGGAGAAAAGCATCTGGAAATGAAATATTGACGACCTAATCCATTTACATAATTAGCCTTTTTCTACTAACAATTTAACCAACTTATTTATTTGGAGATCAAGCAGCTCCCGCTAATGAATTTTATACAAAGAATACTAATAATGACTCCTCTGGAACACGAGAATAATCACAGCAGGAATTAGCTTTCTACTTAAACATCTTTCCTTTGCAACATATCAATCTAATGTGTCCATAGCACCATTAACAACCAGATACATTGTTCAATTAAATTACAAAATGAGCTGCTAAGCCCTAGTTATGTTTCTTGTTTAATTTACATTGCTTTCTGCCTATCTGGGGAGATTCGTATTATAATATCCACTGAACTTTAATATGTACTATAATTATTTGGGTTGGGATAGGATAATATGGCTGTCACCTGTAGAATTAATGGAAGCAATTTCACAAAATATTAAACAGAAGACAGCCTGCTTAACAGATGAACTTAGTACATGGACCTAGATTTTTTTCCATAATTTCTTTTTTGTTAAGGAATAATGCTGTAAAGTTTGTTAGGCTTTTCTCTTTCTTTGTTTTGAAACAGTGATTGTGTTTATGTAGGACAGACAAATATGAAAAGCCATCCAAAATACACCGACCAGGAGATAAGAGATCCAGCTACAAACACAACAACAGGAGAATAAATCTGCTCGCATAGTTCAAAAAAATGTGATATTTATTCTGTTAAGATTCAACCTTTAGATTTAGTGGCAAAATGGAAAACAAAGCTAAACCAGCATGTTCACTTTTCCTGTCAGGCACTGAATTGTGAGACACTCCATCCTCAGCTTCTAACTGTGCCTCTGCTATTATTCCTTTCCAGTTTGTAAAACATACATTTCCTTGACAGATCCAGTCATTTCTGTGAGCACAAAGCATCCTGCAGTTATTAACAGTGCCTGCCAATTTCCTGGAGATTTAGTGCAGTGCCACTCTTGGAAAACAGGTAGGGAACAAAAGTGTGGCAATTACACTCACACAGCCCTGTCTGACCATTTCATCTCCACAGATATTTATCTAACTCTCTGTTATTATCTTCTGCACACCACGATGAACCGTAGCATTATACAGTACTTATTGATAATTTAAAGATGATAGTAGGCAAAGTGTATTTATATTTTTATTGCAGGTTATTCACAATATCAGTTATTATTAAGAAGATTTCTTCAGTGCCTTGTAAGACACGAAAGAAAACACTGTTTTGTGGTGCAGCAGATTCTCCTGCTCTCCTTGCAATCGTGCTGTAACTCCCCTGAGATCCAGAAAGTAAAACGAGAGTTTAAGCTAAACTGGAGCTGACTGATCTGTCCCATTGCCCACATGGGGTGAACACAAAGCCAAGGAAAGCAATTTAGACTCTTTAAAGACCTTGTCCTTACTCCTGCCCTCATCAAATTTGCTCAGCAGAGCCCCCAGCCAAGTGAGGGCAGGTGAGTCTGTTCAGGACAAACCAGAGGGGCACAGCTCCACTGGGATATAATGGGCCTGAAGTCTCCCTCCCTTTATAGAAGGGGGGTTAAAGGCTGACAGATAAACCTGTTTTAACCTTCCAATAACCTGTCTGAAAGGTGGGAATTTCTGCACTTTTGCCCTGCTGCTGGCAGAGCTTTCCTACCTGCCTGTTTTAATCCTGTTCCCATTCATCCTTCCACACCCCTGCATTTCTGCTCTCCCGCCTCTCCCTTCGGTGTCTTTTACTTCCCTGCTCCAGGATGGGGAAGGTGAGCCATTCCTTAGGGTTTTGCTTGGATACAGGTCCACAATGTGACCTTCCCTTGCTTCTTTTCCACCTCTCCCAACTGGCTGTGCCTTATTTTTTTCCCTCCCTGCTTCTGTCTTCCCAAGAAACATCTTTCTTTGGAGTCCAAACGTCTCCCACTTTTCTCCAGGCCCAGATCTGATGAGTCCACGGTCCCTTTGCTCAAGGACAATCCTTGTGAGCTCCTGACAGCTCTGCCCTGAGGTGTCTCCTCTGCCCTGTCTCTCCCTGAGCCACCTTCTCCAGCCCCTCTCGGAGGACAATCAGCAATAAAACCACCTTCCCATCTCCTTCCCTCATCCCAAAGGGGGATGCAGGCTGCTGGCTGGGAGATCCCAGCAGCTCCAGCACTGTTCATTCACCTACAGCCAGGAATCCATCAGGATGTGCAACAACCAAATGAGGAGACCTGGAACCAGAGGCTCTGTCAGCCTTCCCAAGCATGGCCAGAGCTGGGAACAGTTTGGGATTAAACTGTGGTCACCAGTATAAGGATCCAGGATGGGCAGTTGCTTCCTTTAGTGAAAAGTCTCCACAAGGAGAGAAACAGTAATTCTCTGGTAGCCCCTGGCTGGAAGCACTGTCTCCAGGTGGAGGATGGGGAACAGAGTCACACCGATGTCCTCTCACTCAATTATTTAGAAGTAATTAGTTTTTCCACCACATCCAATCCCATAAAAATCCTGAGCCTCTTCCAATTATCACTGTCCATAACATGGACACAAGGAAGTTCCCTGTGTGATGGAAGGAGCAGCCTTCTGACCCCCCAGGGAGGGGGGTTGGATGTTTTTGTGCTACAGAGACCTGCTGGTTACACAGCGAGGCAACAAAGGAGGAACTCTAAGGAGCTTTGCTGCATAAAAGTATAATTGTAGCATTGTCAGTATATGGAGATGAGCTTCCTCCAGCTCATAAAAACAGGGAATACACAGGAGGAAGGGCTGTAGCAGAGCACACTGGTGAGCTGTGCCCACGAGGTGCCTCAGCCCAGCCCCCAGGGAGAGCTGCCCCGGGAGCTGCTGTAACTGCACCTCCCAACCTCTGGCAGGCAGGATTAGCTGGAGGGCTGAGCCAGCACGTGCTGCAATCCCTCATTGACTTTGCTGTGTAGTCATTTTGCTGAATCCATGACACCTTGGTAAAACAATATTATCATCTCCTCTGATCGATTCATGGGTGAAGGCTCTCGTTTATAAATTTTGAGGATTTATCACCTTTTGCTGGTGGCTGAGATGGATCAGTGCTACAGCAGCACAGAGGGCTGAAGGAGACATTAAACTTGCTGTGTTGCTTACTCTTGAGGATATTAATTTGTACAAAGATAGTTCATTTACATATCTTGTAAACATGTAATGCTCTCTATTAAATTTATCACTGTAAATATCTAAATTAAATTTAATCCATTAAATTTTAAAAGTTATATTAAAAACCCCCGTAAATGGAGAGCATTGCCAATAAAAAGTAATAACATTGCCACATTTATATTGCTTGAAGTGCTTCAGAAGGATGAACCTAATTGGAGCAATAGAAACATAACACCATTTTTCAGAGGGGAAGATTGTCCTAGAAGGGATATAAATATTGACAATCCCTGGTTAAAATGAAAGGCTTTTGGGGGGTTGGTTTTTACCTGTCTCCTATATAGCCAGCTGTGCAGATGCATTTTCCTGTCACGGGGTCACAGTGTCCTCCGTTGTGGCACGGACAGTCCTGGCTGCAGTTGATTCCAAAGGTTCCAGGAGGACATGGCTGTGCACACACCAGCCCCTGGTAATGTTGCAGAAAGAGCAATATTTCAGTCAACATCCATAATGCAATAAATTTCTATATGCAGCTGAGATTTTTATTGTCCTTCTTGCTAAACCTAGGAGTGAGGGTAGCAGCAATATTTTATCTGTATAAGATGTGCTAAAGACAGTCTGAAAACTCTGCTACCAGAGTAAATGCCTGTCTAACTCCAGGAGGGATTTTTCTCACCACTGTCCACTCCCTGATAATTCTCTTCTCTGGATCTCCCTGTAAACTGCAGCTGGAGATTCACTGCCCCTTGTAAAGGTCCAGGAAAGTTTGGGAGAGGTTAAAAGCAAACAGAGAAGGCTACAAACCTTCTGGTATGTGCTGGTGGGGTTTTGTGAAATGGAGAGGCTGAAATGTTGTTGGACACACCCTGAGTAGAGAACATTTGGGAAGAAAGGGATTATTGGAAAGGTTGCGCTGGGAGGATGAAGTTGTGCGAGTTCTGATAGTCTGTGATCATCTCTCTTGTTCAGAAAGTCCCTCCTCAGCCAACCACAAAGAAGACCAAATACACCTGCTGGAGGAGTCCGGTACTACCCCTCAGATCCCACCTACTCCATTCCCTCTGCTCCCATCCAGCCCCCACACTCAGCACAGAATGGCACCTGCCAGTGCCCTGTGTAAGCCACGGAGGGGGCAGGATGGGAACAAGAGGTTGGGAGAGTTGCAGAAAGCCCCCAGGAATGACACAGAAGCATCACATCAGCAGTGCAGCAGCCTTTGGCCAGAAGAAGGGATTTTGCAGTGGAATATCTGCCTAATCCCTGAACATCAGCAGGATGCCTCATTCACCATCCTCCCAGCTCCTTATCCCCAGCCCCGGAGTCACATCTCAGTCCCTGCCCTGCCTCAACTCCACATCTTGCTGGTGACCTCCTTTCCCCATTTATGCTCCCAGCCTTCTGCCCTCCTGCCTCTTTATTCCAGTCCTCCCCAAATCCTTGTTGCAGACTCCCTTTTAGTGCTCTCCTTCATCTGGACCCAAATCCCCATCTGTGAGTTGTTTCCTCCTTTCCCTCCCTGTTTCACCACCCCCGAGAGCGAAGCACGGACAGACTGTCCCTGTTGGGCACCCTGGCACTGCTCACAAGGAAAAGCAATTCCTGGGCAAGCCTTGCTCCAGCTGCTCAGCCCCAAGGCAGGGAATGCTCACTGTTGGTTGGGGTCATGTATTTGGAGAATTTACCTGCCAAACTCTGGTGGTTTCCCCTCTGGGTATCCCATAATGTCCCCTGCCAAGTATCGAAGCCTTACAAGGATTTCCCCAGACTTTCTTAGAATGTTGTTGTTTTTTTTTTTTCTGGGAGCAAACATAAAGCCCAGGGCTGGGATCCAGCTGAGGAACTCCAGCCAAAACAAGGCTGGCAGTGCTGGGAGCTGAAGTTGTGGTCCTATAATGGAAAATGTTTGGCATCTGCAGCGAGTGGCGCTGTTGCCAGTGCCACCACAGTGCCCAGCGTGAGACAGAACCAGTGTTTGTCTGGCCCTGGGATTATTTGGTTTAATCTCTCAGAAGCCTTGTTTCCCTAAGCAAACCCTGAGGGCTCTGGGTTTTGAACAAAGCACATATTAGACACAGTTTATACAAAATATAAACCAGGAATATAACGGCTGCTTTCACTCCTCGGGGCTGGGGAAGTTTAGCTGTGTCAACAAGCCCAAAGTGGAGAGGCTGCTCTTCAATGTCACCATAAAACAGACACTTTGAGCCTTTCCCAAGCAGTGAGAGGTGGCTGCTTGGCTGTAAAACAGCCAGGCTGGCCTCAGTTCAAGAACTTTCAGATTACAGCATTAAAAACTGGTGTCTCTGGACTTGAGTAATACACAACACTATATATCAGAAAACCTAAGTGTCCATTTATCTTGATAATAAATACTTTCTCCCTTCATGTCTCAAAAGGAACAGGATTTCTATCAGCAAATGATGAGAAAGCAATACTCTGGGATGCATCCCCCCAGAGCCAAGAGGATCTTCAGGCGTAGTTGTTGCATTAATACGTACTCAGGGAATTCAAAACATCCCTCTCTGGAGGATCAAATGTCAGCCCAACGTTTCCTGCTGCTTATACATCTAATCAGCAAAGTTCACCCCATCAGCACCTTTTTTAAGGCCCTGATTTCATCAGCTTCTGCTTTTGACATAGTTTGCTGTATTTTGTGGGACAGAAAAGATTTTTTTCTGCTCCATTTTCTCACATATCCCTAAGTTTGAAAACCACCAAGGAAAGAAAACCAGATAAAACCACAAATTATAGCTGTTTCATAAAGGCCAGATTCAATGAGAAAGAACTGATCAGCAGAATGTGTTTTATTAACATGGCACCACGATGGTCTGGGACCCAGCAGGGTGTGTTGCCAGTGACAAATGTTCTGTCATGCCAGCAAAGATTGCAGCTCTCCTGAGCACAGGGATCTAGTCCTTCAAAAGTGCTTCTGAGAAGCACTGTAAATGCTAAATTAACTTCTCTCCCCACTTCCTGAGAATGCTTGGAGAATTTAATACAGCAAATGAGAAAGATGTATAGAATTAAACCTGTAAATTGTTAATGAGACCCTAAAGCAGCCTCCCACTGGCTCCCACAGCCACAAAGGCACACAAGTGGAAAAAGCCCAAAGTTGTGGGATGCTGGCAGCCACATTTTGTTGACTGGCTCAACAATATATGCTGTCAGCCACCATCCTCTTGGTGAAAAACCCTTGGGATGGCAAAATCCCACAGGACATCATCCATACAACTTGTTCTTCTGGGAGATTCTGCACTGGGTGGGAGGAAAGAAATCACAAGTCATGAAAGAACCAGGCTTTGGAGGTGGTACATCCAAGGAAGAAGCTCAGAACCCCAAAACTTCCTCCTATTCCACTCCCTGCCTCCCCTTGCATGTCCCACCAGGCCCCCAAGGGAGCTGAGCTCCTGTTAATAAGCCTGCCCAGGAAAGGATAAAAGTTGCAGCTCATCCAGCAGCAATAAAGTCCAAGTGGATTTGCACTTGCATAAATCCAGGGAGAATTCTCTCCTTTCAAAATGATGGTATATTCAGTACATACATGCAGTCTCAAGCCTCAAAATCAGCAAGTAAAATTCCTGGTGTCAGAGAAATCCTCGGTGTGAAGTAAAATGAATGCTGTCTAGCAATCCCATCTCGCCTGCTCGTTCACAGCCCCCTCATGTCTCACTTCCCAAACCATTCCAACCACCAAGAGTTAAAAATATAGCATGAAAAAACCCATATTTTATCCCTCTCTGTGTACTGAATTACCAGCTTTTCATTAAAACCCTGGAGAGACCCTTTATACTTAAAATCTCAACATTTACAAGCTGAGTGCTTTTACTTATAATTTCAGTTTCTTTCTGCAGAATACTTGATCTCTCTCTTCAATTTTCAGTTATGCTTGTTTCAGACATCAATTGTTAACTCCAGGGTTCCTCTGGGGACAGAGCAGCCAACAACACAGTTTTCAGAAAAGTCTCTCTGGGCTCCTAAAAATGCAAAGAAGAAACTCAAGGCTGTAAGAACTGGGCAGGAGTGGGCCAGGATACAACCAGAGCTGCTGTGCAGCCCCAGTGCTGTGGCTCTTTTTTATAGTCTCTGCTGCATCCTAAAAGACATGTAAAAATTCCTGTTCTATTCTGATATTTTTATCTGTTTATTGATGGTTTAACTTTGAAAAAGAAAACTCCTGATAAAACACAGTTCAGGAAGGGTACAGCAAACCAACTCGGATTCTGAGAAATCTTGGCACGCAGAAGAGGAGATGGAAAAAGTTGTACTTTTTTTTATGTTAATCACTTTACTGATCACTTCCTGGGGGAAGTGCCAGAATGGACTGATAGGCCCTCAAAAATATGTGAATTCCTTCCTTTAGCTCCCCCACTCAAGGAAAAAACCTTTTCTTTGCCTCCACTGAAGGCCAGGTGAGGGTAAGGTGTCATATTCATATCAAAGCCAAGGTAGAGAAACTCTAACTCTCCAGTTAGAAAGAGATTTTCCATATGCAGCTTCCACCAAAAATTATGGGCAACAATGTTCTTCTCCCACGCTCTCCCAAGCCACCAGCTCCTCATGGTTGGCTCTTCTGAACTCAAAGCAGCTGTGATCAAATGGAAGCAGCATTTGATGGATGGAAAGGAACTCCAGCAACTCTCTCACGTGTTCCAGCAGGTAGAAGGTCCCCAGCAGAAGCCACACACACATTTGTCTGATGATCTGCAGGGCCCTCCATGTAAAAATAAAAATTCAGAGCACTTGCACGCATTAAAATCCAGCCAGTTTGCCAAGAGACTAATTGTCAGATACAGGAAAAATGCCAGGAAATTTAGTACAGCTAAATGGTCCGAAGGCCTGTGAGACTTGGCAAACCCCAGGAGAGTTAATTATTGCATTATTGATAACGTTGAGGACTTTAAAAATGTTTGGCCTTGCTTTCTTGACACAGAGGATTAAAGGTTAGAGATTGTCTCTCTCCAGAGCAACCCCTGGTACAAGCAAATCTATGGCAATCAATGGGAATGATGCCTGAGGAAGGGCAGGACACTGAACTGACCTCTGTCCTGGGTGCAATCCTGCTCTGCTGACAGTCTGAGCCACTGAATTCTCCCTGATTCTCCCTTTCCCTCTCTCCTGAAGGGGAACAGGACAGTTTGTGCCTTTGACAATGTCATGCTGAGTTTTGAGCTTTCTGTCCTGTGTGAGGGCAGTGTCCAAGGCTGCAGGGAATATTCCAAGGAACTGTAACCTGGAGACAATCCCTTTGTCTCTTAGTTTACTGCTGATTTTTAAACTTGATGATGGCAGATACCAGTCAGAGAACCCCAGAATCATTTAGGTTGGAAAAACCCTCTAAGGTCACTGAGTCCAATCAATGTCCAAGGACACCACCCTCCCAAGCACAGAGATCTAGTCCTTCAAAAGTGCTTCTGAGAAGCATTGTAAAGTCTAAGTTAACTTCTCTCCCTACTTCCAAGGGCAAGGACACCACTAAACCATGTCTCCAAGTGTCACATCTACATGTTTTTTGAACACTTCCAGGGATGTGCCAGGTCCCAGAACTGTGGCCTGTGCACACAAAGATGATCCCAGTTTTGGAATCGTTGGAGCCTCGTGACAAATAACAGCAGATACACATGACAGGCACTCAGGGAAGCATCAGCTGAGACAGTGAGCAATGAAATGGTTAGTTAATCACACTCCAAGCCCTCCAGGAGGCTGGGTGTGAGTGGTACCCACCGTCCATCCCGCGGGACAGGAGCACTCCCCGGTGATGTGGTGACAGACGCCCCCGTTCTGGCAGGGGCAGCGCAGCTCACACTGGGCTCCGTGGCTGCCGGGGGGACACAGCTCCTCACAGCTTCGGGGGAGAGAAGGACAGAAAACAAAGAGATCAGCACAGGAAACAGCAAACGAGGAAAACCCACCCCACAGCTCATCACGGGAGCCCTCGTGTGAACAATGAAACCTCTGCGAGCCTCAGCTGGCACTGCCAGTTAGCCAAGATTCCTTTAATTTCTGTTTATGTGCTGTGGATCCAGCCCTGGAAGGCTGATGCCTGTGTGTAACCTTTCTGCACATCCCAAACTCCACCCATCTCAACAGGACAACTCATAACCGTTAAACCAGCCCAGGAAAATACGAGTTGCAAGATGAAGCCTTCGATGTGAATTATGGGATGTGGCAATAAAAGAAACTGCAAATAGAATAAAAGGAGGGGATTAAAATGCTTGCAATTTCTCCAGTCACTACTGAATGTTAACATTTGCAGTGTATAATGGACTGGCAAGGACTCAACATCATTTAAAGGCTATTTAAGCTCATTGAGTCTCTCTCAGTACTCGTGGGGAGGCAATGTAAAGCTAATCCCTGCAAAAAGAGTGTCTCCTACATTGGTGCTTTCAGCATCAAGGTTCTGAAACTACAGAGTGTTCTTCTCCTAATTGACTGTCCTCTGATGAGGATGGTTCCTACCACATATCAGGGGCTGGCCCTGCTGAGAACTGACACACTGGTGTCAAGGAGAGCACTCCTAACAGTGTGCAGAGTCTTTAGCAGTGAGTGCTTCCACAGCTGAGGTCACAAGTCTATGAGGAAATCAGGTGCTAAATAAAATATTCAAAAGGTGTATCACTTATTTATGAGGGTTAACATTGTCTTTAGTTTTTATCTTCCCCTTCCTGCAGGTCAACAAATAATAATAGACTGCAAAAGTATTAAGTCACCTGTAATAGATCTCCAACCAAATTCAGTGACTGAATTCTCTTTTCCCCTTAAATAATTCTGAAAAACATAATTACTTCTGAAACTGCTGAAAGATCTCTAATGAGAACTGATGTTACACTGTGGGCAATTTTAAACAAGGAACTATTGCTTGCTGTCCTGAAATTAATATGCACATTTTGTGAATCCTACTGGTAAACTTTCCGTGTGGTGGATGGGGATTTAGCTACACGATTCTTGTTGAAGTTAATAGGAGTCACACAGCTAAATCCCTGCTCACTATGCTTAAAATCTACCCCCTAGATAGTAAGCTGATATAGTTAACAGCAATGCTTTCTCACTTAGATTGAAAGTCAAATAAATTGGGGATGGTTAAGTCTCATTTGATACTGCACTGGACTGCTAATGAGGAGAGAGTCCAATTGCTTATAAAAACTCAGCTGTAACTTGGATTGTATTCACATTCTGAAATTAAGAACAGGTAGAGGTGTTGCACAAGCTGGAAAATATAAAGGATTTTAAAGCTCATTTTAGCACTGTATTGTATTTCATTATGATAGAATCATATAATCCTGGAATGGTTTGGGTTGGAAGGATCCTTAAAGATCATCTGGTTTTACGGCCTGCCCTGGGCAGGGACACCTTCCACTAGCCCAGGTTGCTCCAAGCCCCATCCAACCTGGCCTTGAAAACTTCCAGGGATGGGGCAACCAAAACTTCTCTGGGCAACCTGTGCCAGGGCCTACCCACCCTCACAGGGAAGGATTCCTTCCCAATATCTCACCTTAAACCTGCCCTCTGGCACTTTAAAGCCTTTGTTATATCACTACACACCCTGTCCAGCTCTCTGGAGCCCCTTTAGGTGCTGCAGACAGCTCTAACCAGCAGCAAAAAAGAGAGATTTCCTTTATTTAATCTCCATCCTACCACCTGATTTCTCCAAGGGCAAGTGCCAAACACGCCGTGCCCACTTTGCCAACCGCTCTCGGCACCGAAGGCGCCCGATGCAGGCGCGGAACCGCCCCCGCGGTGGCACTCACAAGACTCCGGTGTATCCGGGCGCGCAGTGGCACTCTCCGGTCTGGTGGTCGCAGGTGGCCCCGTGGTGGCACTGGCACTGGAGCTGGCAGGCCTTGCCGTAGGTGCCGGGCTCGCAGAGCTCCTCGCAGCGCCAGCCGCGGAACCCGTCGGCGCAGACGCAGGCGCCCGTGATGGGGTTGCAGAGCGCGTCGTTCTGGCACTGGCAGCGGTTGCTGCAGTGGGGCCCCCAGTGCTCGCTGTCACAGCCTGCAAACACACACTGCAAACTTCACCCTCCTGGCGGGCACAGGGCAGCCCCAGCGTCCCCTCCCAGCCCCACCGACGGCAGAGTCGGGTGCCGGAACTTTCCGAAGCACTCCCAGACTTCCCAATGCCCAGCGACGGGTTCAGCGCGCGAGGAGACGACAGCACGGCTGTGACGCTGAAATTTGAGGACTTCTTTAACACCCTTATTGGATCAGGACCGAAATCTTTTAATATCCTGTTTCTTAGTGCTCTTAGGTAGCTGGAAGGAGTGAATTTATAGCGGAATTAGAGGCAGAGGATCACATCCTGCCTGCAGCGTGGTTCATGGCAGGTGGCACTGCCAAGCAAATCCTGTCCATTTAATAATGTCATCAAACACAGTTGCTTTGTACTGTTCCCATAAGATAATAAATAAGATATTCTAAAGAAGGTTTTCTCCTTGGTGTTGGGGTTTTTTTGTCTGGTGGCATTTTTATGGTGGTTTGTTGTTGTTGTTTTGGTGGGGGGTTTTGTTGTTGTTTTGTGTGTGGGATGTTTGTTTGTTTTTAATTTAATTTTTTTGTGTTTTCTGGACTAAATAGATGGGAGGGAAGAAAATAACACTGGAGACAGGATGACCTGAGGCTGCCCAAGCTTAGGGATGAAGGTATGGAATGTGTATGCCAGGTAATTGCTGTGTGAGTAACAGGAACACAGAAGGACCCTGAACCTTCTGGCCACTGACAAGGAGAGGAGATTCCCTACAGAAGGCATTAAGGCACAGGGAGAACCCTTCATGTGACAGTCCTGCCCAATCCCTTCTCCTCTTTTTTGGAGGATGAGAGAGGGAAATCAGCATTCCAGGAGCAGTTTGTCCCGAATTGTTACAGGAACAGCAACTGGCACCTGCACAACACCTGTCTGAGCTGTGCACTGAGCAGAGCTCAAAGCAAGCACCTGAGCTCCAGCTTTCCTCAGCAAACCATCAGCAGGAAAACAAGGATCCCATCCCTTTCCAGCTCCAGCTGGTTGTGCTCGGAGAGCTGGTTTCAATCACACCAACAACCCTGATGCTCCTGTAAAACCCACTGCCAGGCAGGAGAGGGGAGAGTAATCCCAGCAACAGAGCTGGCTCCACAACCACTTTTGTTTGCAAACATGGAAACTAATCCCCAGGTGCCACGCGCTGCTTCCCAGGCCTGGATCTGTTTCCAGGATTAGTGAGGTAAATGTAAAGCTCACTTAAGCCTGATGCTTTTGTCCTGGAAAGCTCACAGCCCTCTCCTTCTACACTACACGGCTCTAAACCCACGCTGGAAAACATCATCTATCAGTTCATTTTGGCAGTACTTTTATCCTTCATTTTGAGAAGAGGGATACTCCTTGGTCAGACACTCTGAGGATACCCAGCAGAGGAAGGAGAGAGGCATTATTCCACCCACACTGCTGATTACAGTTTACAAACTCGTGTTTCTTGAGCAAGTGTTAAAGGCCAAAATAAACCCACAGAAGACAATTCCAGGGTCTCCAAAAGGATCTGCAGGGTCCTAGAGGATGCAGGTGCAGAGAGCTGGTTTCATGTCCTGCAGAAAGCAAATTCCTGTGCACAGTCCTGCTCATGCCTCACATCACACAGTTTATTGCTTTGCCTCACTTCTCCCCCAGCTGCAAACAGGGATGATAGTTCCTCTCTAACACCACTGGGAGCCCAGCAAACAAAATCTTATTCTTTATAAGACTTAAATTATTACTGAGAATCTGTGGAAAGAGATGATCTATCTTTATTTCACACAGACACTTGCTAAGACTCTGTGAGCCTTCTGGGGAGGGAGCAAAGCTGCTGGAGCTGCTGGAGCTTCCCAGCAATTTCCATTCCAGAAACACTGATTTGTTTTCTGCAGAACTTGAACACCAAGGGATGCAGTTCTGCACTTCCACAAGGGTACAAATCCGAACTACACAGGCACAGCTGAGGGCCCTGAGCATTGGGAAGTGGAATTCAGGGATCAAACTTCACCCTGCCTGCTTTGGGAACTTGATTCCTCCTGTACCACACCTCACATCAGAGCCCCAACTGCACATTGTCCCTTGTTCTGGGCTGGTACAATTCCAGCTGCAATTAATTTCCTTAATATGAGTAAATAACACTCATTAGAAGAGGTGATTCTATCCTTGCTCTTCCCTGTCTCAGGTGGGTGCTCCAACCATCAGATTTGTCTGCTGGGTTATTGTTTTTCACTTTGAAGGAAAGTGAAGGAAAAAGAAAACCTCTATAGGAAGGGAAAACCATTTTTCATCATCAGTTCAAGCATCTTGTTTCACCTGTCCAGTGCCTCCCCCACCCACAGCTCCTTTTCTGTAAGTCCATCTTATTTGAACACTTATTTACTACTGATATTTAGTCACACGCTTTCTCCATGTACCAAAGTTCACTCCACAACCCAGCCAAAGGGAAGAGCAAAGTGCTGAAGGAAAGAGCAGAAATTCCTCTCATTGGTTGGAAAATCATTAAAAAAAAAAAAATCTGGAAAAGAAACCTGCAGTGACCAGAAAACCAGCTGCCAGATTTTTCCAAAAGCTTCTCAGTAAAGGCATCAGTGAGTGCATGTTACAAAGCAGTGAGCCCAAATGGTTTAAGTACCTCCAAAATAAAGCAGCTTGGCATACCAGATAGCTGCTAAGAATATGAATTTCATGGGGATTTATTAAGGAGAGAACATAAAAATGAGGATTAAAGTACATCTGAAAGCTCAGGGAAGACAGAAAAAATAGAATTACCGGAAGATGAGGCTTGTACAGTGTCATTGCCAATGCCTGACACAGCCTTTGCTTCTTTTCTGTTCCTAAAACTACTTGCAGGGATTGACTACAGTTCTCTAGATGGTTGGAAACCAGTCACAGTGTGTGTGTAAAACCAAGGTGAACACAGTGGATGTGTATAACCAAGGAGAACATCCTGCTGTCTCACTGGTGATGGGATCACACACACTCAATGCCAGGTTGGACTCCTCTAGATTTAAGTCTTTGCCTCAGATGGGAAATATTTCCTGCTTTCAGCCACCAGCTCAAGCCCTGTATTTGTCACACTGAGCAGGGCCATTTCATGCACTATCAATTCATCCAGTGCTGATTAACTGCAAAGGGAATTGAGTGGAAATCATTGGCAAGGTGTTAGTGTAAAACTTGTGATAATGAAATATCCCCCTCACCTGATTTTACACTGCCTTAACCTCACATGAAAATAAGATCTGTGTTGCTCAGAGTTTATCAATCCCTATTGGTTTTCTTCCCCTCTTTCCTTTAGGTCCCATATTGCAGTGACAGACTGAAGTTGGAAGTAAATTCTTTACCTGTGTCATTTCACCGGAACATGACGTGATATTTATATGATAACTCAGAGATCTGCACTGTGATAACTTCTGTGCCTTTACACAGGTAGCAGATACAGAGATGATAAGCTAAATCCAAGTCCTTATTCAGACAATTAACTCCACTGGGCTCAACAGGCTCACTCAAGTGTGAGACTATTCGAGTGTGAGACTGCTCGAGCGTGTAGCCAGCTACAGCATTGGGGTCCAGCAGCTCCTACTAGAAAATTAAAAACCAGAAGAAACCAAAGACTTCAGCAACCAAGATGTACTTTTTCTATATCCACCAGTGTGGCAAATCCTGGCTGGTTGTGACAGTGACTCCAGTTTCTGAGATAAAGGGCAAAGCAGGCTCAGAGCCACAGGATCCCGCTGCACTTTGGGATCGTCAGCACCTGCTCCCGTGGGCTTGGAGAGACCATCTTAAAAGACAAGCCCAGCCTAGCACAGCCTAATCCTGCTCTTGTTGTGTGTTACCATAATAGAGATAAATAATAACAGCAACAACATGTGAACAGAGAGCTGATTAAAGCTTACATGAGCGATCCACTCTAAATGTATATGCCATTAAAATGTCAAAATGATACAGAGACTTTAACTAGACCATCAATAAGGAAAGCAACCTGAGAGGGGGGATGTCAGGGAGGTACAGATGCTCCCCTTAGCTGTGTGTGGGGATGTCAGTCCTGTGAGGGATGAGCCTGAAATAGCCACTGTTCTCTTGGGAGATGCTACACTGAAGGGAGCTGCCATATTTCAGGTCACGTGCCCACATTCCCTGGCAAACGTGCAAACTTAGTCACTTCTTCACCTTCAAAAATAGGACTGGGGAATAATTGCCACCGATAAAAATGAATATAACTCTGTAAAGGATGATGCTGGGTGCCTAAGCATAATTACACTTGTCTGCATAGGGTATGACAGGGGAGGGATTCATCCTCCTGTGGAGAGACTGCTCAGTGCAGCACCAAGAGTTCTCCAGCTCATGCAGCACCAAGGGGTTTTCTCTTCTGGCCATCCCTACTCCCAGCCCAACCACAGTTCCTTCTTGAAGTGAGGGATAATTACTGCAGGCTCTGCATGTAGAATCATGGAATCATAGAATGATTAAGGTTGGAAAAGACCTCCAAGTCACCAAGTCCAACCTTCGACCCAACAGCCCCGTGCCCACCAAACCACATCCTGAAGTGCCACATCTGCTTGTTTTGGGAACCCTCCCAGGGATGGTGGCCCCACCACTTCCCTGGGCAGCCTGTTCCAGTGCTTAACCCCTCTTTCAGTGAAGATGTTTTTCTGCTATTTCATCCTGTTACCAGTTCTGTCCTGGGAAATAAAATACACAACCAGGACACGCTGGAAGTGCTGCTTCACTCCCAAAGGGCCGTTTATCCCTCTAGCAGTGATTAGGGAATTGCTGTGTCCTGGGTCCACAGAGCCACCCAGTGCTTAGTGCAGCAGCACAAGTCAGGCACAATGCAGCAAACACACAAATGGCAGATAAATAAAAGGAGTCCCGAGGAAGGGATGACATTTATTGAGTGATTTATCCTGACAAGAGAGAGTCAAAAGGGCTATTCCAGAGCTTTGCCATCCCTGCACAGGCACACTGTTAATATGAAAACAGCATCTTTGCTCACAGCAGCACCTGAACCT